ACATAATTACTCTTTAGCTAACTGGACAGGAGGTATGTTACTGCTCTTATTCTGAGCAAGGGAAAGCCATCTGCAAGCGTACAGTAGTCAACTATCAAGATTCAAAATGCATCATGTTATTTCCTTAGCATTGACTGCAATACAAATAGAATAAATATTTGAATAATACTTTAAATAATGTAAGAACTGTTTTTAAATTAAACTAGTAGAGAGTTTGTTAGGCGTTCCTGCCACACATAACATTCCTTTAGCTTTTGTAGCAAGAGTCTTCATTGCCTTTAGGAGACATAAAAGGCAGTAACCGCTTCTTCCCCTTTTTAAACTGACTTAGGGGTCTACTTTCCCATTAGCATTAATGAGACTTACGGGCATGCGGCAACATGAGACTAAAGGAGACCAAACCTTAGAGCGGCTCTTGATAAGTAAATCATCTTTGCATCAGCACTTTAGAGGCTTTAGTATCCTTTCCCCCCCCATTATTTATGGTACCTGATTACTTCACTGATATTTAATATTTATTTTGTAAACTTCAGCTAAAATTTAGGCCAGCACAATAAGGCAGCGTATCTATTTGAAGGCTTGTGTCTTAAAGTAAACCAATCTTTTTGAAGTGGATGCCCATTTTTGTAAGTGAAGTGATCAAGGGGGAGGAATAATTGGGCCTTCACAAAAGGTGAAGAGAAGCTACAGTGGAATGGTGGAAAGTAATTGTGGACAGAAGACTTCGGGTGATCGTAATTCTGTAAAATGTGTAGTCTTCCAGGTTTCATTGGCTTCTAGCCCATCATGTCTTCGTATCATTATTTTTAGAATTAGTTTCTGTTACCTGAAAAGAATATTGGAATGATGGAAGAACCCTAAAGAATCATATATTGAATAAGCAGTCAGGGCTAAAGAAATAAATCTACTTGAGGGATGCATTTCATTTACATAATCATAAACTTCCTGTAGAATATTGTATTGGGTTTCTGAGGCAAGGTTTTGGTAGCAGGGGTGGGGGGGCTACAGGGGTGGCTTCTGTGAGAAGCTGTCAGGGAAGCCCACGGGGGAGCAGATCTCCAGTTGCAGCCCGGGGAGGACCCCACGCTGGAGCAGGGGGGTGCCTGAAGGAGGCT